CACACACACACACACACAAGGTCTTTGACTCCCTTTTTTACCCGAATGCAAGATGACACATTTCATTTCATTTTCTTGGCTTTTGGTAAGATGAATTTGAATCTTTATGCTGATCTATTGGCTTGCCTTTCCAGCATGGTGTTTGCTGCATGTTCTTTCCAACCTTTAATAATGTTAGACCAGACAAAGAACCTCATGGCTTTCTATTAAAGAGATCCACCCAGCTGGACTGCTACCCATCCTACATTTGACCATTTAATCCTCCAGTTAGTTTATAATCAAGAGTCAACAACAATGTAACATGTTCAATAACCATACAAAGAAAAAAAGGAAATGAGATTGGTTTGACATGACTTATATAGCCCAGTTGGCTATAACCATATGTTTTCTATAGGTTTGCAAACCTTGTGTTTTTTTAACAACAATAGCATTTGCTATGTGCCAAGACTTTTCATATATGCTTTTACTTACCTTTCACCACACCCATGTTAGGTAGGTACTCTAACGATCCCCATTTAACAGATGTGGAAACTGAAACTCAGAGAAACTAGGTAACTAGTTCAAACCCACAGCGTTTAAGTTGCAGAGCCAGGATTCAAATGCAGGCTTGTGTAACTCCAACACCTGCACTCTTGATGCATGTTCCAGAATTGCCTAGAGTCCTTCCTAGAATTGTGCCAGGATTTCATTTTAGTCTTATCAGTGCCCTTTATCTCAGTTAAAGTGTTTATCTGCTGAGGCGTTAGATAAGAGGTGGTATCATCCCTGGGTAGAGGGGCACACCTAAGTTTTTCAGGCATACACAATATTTAGGTGACCTCTCATCTGGAATAGCTCTAGATAACCAGATAGTCTTCAAGGTCTCAGGTCATTCACTCCAGCTCTCAGTTCTGAGTATGTCTCTGCATTCATCCACAATATAAAGACAATGCATTCAATATTTAAGATATCCAACTAATGAAGTCATGAGTTGCTATTCACTACATGTAACAGCACTCAAGGGTAGATGGGACCAACCACTTAGTAGGGGATATCGAGGGGCATACTATGGTATATAGATGGATAGTGAAGCCAGATGACCTTTGGGGTCCCTTCCAGCCTCAGAATTCCTCAGCTCTAACAACTTTCACTTTTCCCTGGAGTTAAACATCGTGAGTGCATTGACCTTTGACCATCATATTGGATCTGACAATGTGCTATTTGAGCCCTACCTTGAGATTCTAGGGCAGATAAGTGCTTAATACATATTTCCTATGGCTGAGAATGGTGATGATGGTGATAACTGGACAATGGTCCCATTCCAGAAATGGTGGTTTTCAGTGCTGGAGACTACTGATGGCAGGGCCAGGTCACTGACCCATGAAAGCAAGACGCAGAACCAAAATGTACCAGGAACAGTATTGTTCCCGGTCATCGAGGACTGGATTTGCTGTGTGAGCAAAGTAACTCCTCTTTCCCTGTTGCGTGTCTGCTCGCTCATATGGTCTTTAACCTGGCAGAGTGGTTTTAGTCCTGCACTTCTGGATACTGTTCCTTATCTATTAGGTTGAGCGATAACACTGGAAATAAATGGGGAAACACTTATGGAATGGTGGAGTCGGGACCATTTAACAGATGCGGAGATCTGTTCCTCCATGAAAGCAACAAGAACACGGGCAAGAGTTGTCAAAATTAATTTCTTCAGCGCTCTGAACCAAAGGCTTGCAACAATCTAAGGAACATTTATTTAAGAAAATGGCTGAATAATAGTAAGAACAGTGAGCTTTGTGTTTTAACTTGCCCTGC